ACAGCCGACACCCTCCCACAGCCGACACCCTCCCACAGCCGACACCCTCCCACAGCCGACACCCTCCCACAGCCGACACCCTCCTGCATCCAAAGCTTTTTATTGATGTTTTTTTTCGGTCCAGAGGAGGTGGAAGGGAAAAAGAGGAGAGGGAGGAAGAGGAAGTTGAGGAAGAAAAAAATATGGGGAGGAGGAATGGATTAAGGAAGAAAAAATGGGGAGGAGGAGGAGTATAAGGAGGAGGAAGAAGAGTATAAGGAGGAGGAAGAGAAGAAGATGATATGGGAGATTTTCTATAAGCTCCTAGGATTCGTTAAAGTGTTTATGTGGTGTTGATGTGTGGTGGGGTGTTGGTGTGTGAGTGTAGGTGTTGTGGTGTGGTGCAGATAAAGCAAATGACTACCATCTCTCTCTCTCTCTCTCTCTCTCTCTCTCTCTCTCTCTCCACCCACCACACACATATACATATTCCAGGTATAAATCAGTGAACAGCGGGGAGCAACACACACACACACACAACACCACCACGTCACTATACTCATCACCGCTTCCTGACTCACATTCACAGGGGGAGGGGGAGGGGGCATTTCCAACCAACTGAGTATATATGTGACTCATCTGGATACATTAATCTAGCCTTGTTGAGTACAGTAGATGAGTCAAGCGTTCTAGTGTGTATAGTGTGAGGTGATGTGCTGGTGATTGACGTGTGGTGGTGGGTGAGGTGTGGTGGTGGGTGAGGTGTGGTGGTGGTGGTGGTGGGTGAGGTGTGGTGGCAGGTGACCGTCCATTACCTCTCTACCTGCCTGACTCACTGACTGTTAAACTCGCGGTCGTCCCCACTGAACACTTTACCCCAGACACACACACACACAGATCAGATAACTGGGACCATCTCACAGTGTTATGGTGAGGAGCCGATCTGGTGTTGTGGGTTAGGTGAGGATTATGTGAGACAAGGGTACGAAGTGGGGTGTGGGGGAGGGAGGAGGTGTTCTTGGTGGCGGGGTCTTAGGTCAACAGCAGCCGGATAGGAGTGGCCAGCTAGCACACAGTGTCTTATCACGCCCGCCTGTAACTGTGACCACACCTACAATATAGGCCACACTACTGCCACTCTCTCTCTCTCTCTCTCGTGCCAAGTGTAACATCAATACACACTCGTTGTCTCTTTGTATATCTTATGGTCATATTGATTACCGAACCTCAAGTATTGATATTATAACCGCGACTTTATTTACGAAAAGATGTGTCTTGTTGAGGGCTGGTTAGGTTAGGTTGATTACAGTTACATTTACAGTTACAGGAAACTACAGAAACACTCAAATTACTTCACGCGGCGTCTTGCTGTTGTAACCGACCAATGGCTAGCTAGTTCACCTCCTGTTACGGTGACCAGTACAGACACACACACTAGTCCATCCATCCCTCGAGCCAAGACAGTGCTACCCAACACCTGGCGTCCAACACAGTGCTATGAGACGCGTGTGAGAGAGGCGACTTTCTTATCTTATTGTGTGGCAATGCAGCTCGGCCAACCATCTTGGAACAGCAGTTAATGTGTGGGAAGTTCTCTTGAGATCGATGTAGCGAAATTGTTGGTGTCACTGTTGCTCTGTGGCCAAGATTGGAGACTTCCTGGTGGTGGCAGGTGCTCCTCCTCCTCCTCCTCTTCGTCTTCCTCCTCTTCCACCACTTGCACCTTCACTCTTCCTATAATGCTGTAATAATTTTTTGGTGTGCGTGTATGTGTTTTTGGAGTGCGTGCGTGCGTGCGTGCGTGTTTTATGATCAGCAGCGTGAGGCAGGTGGAGTGGGTGGGTGGGTAGGTGGGTGGGGGGTGGACGGCCTTGGGTCATGGGGCGTAATTTTAGGTGTAGTCGGTGTCTGCGGCCGCGACCTTCACCAGCAAACACCGCCGCCGCCCCATGACTGACAAATGCCACGTCATCATCAGTCAACTTTTTGTTTATTGTTAAAAAAAAAGTTCATTCAGAGGTGACAAAAGTTTATTATTATTTTTGTTATTATTATTATCAATGTCTCTGTTGTTGTTGCAAAATTAATCTTACGTGTACAAATATGAGAGAGAGAGAGAGAGAGAGAGAGAGAGAGAGTAAATATATTCAGGGTTTACCGCCTGTGGACAGCACAGCGGGAGGTGGGGGAGAGGTTAGCAATTAAGTATTGGTCAGTTAAGTGAAGGGTGGAGGGATGGAATGGAATGGAATAGGCAAAGGGGGTCAGTGGGAGGGGTCGTCGACGAGACAGGAGGTACCATTCCACCCATCTACCCACCCCTCTCACCCTTCTCCCCCACCCACCTCCCCCTCGCCAACACACCCCCTCATTATATCAAATACACGTCATTGACTTAACATAATGAATAAGAGAACAATTTAACAACACACACTGGTCATCTGTGGGAGGTGTTGTGGGTGCTGGCAGTTGTGGTTGTGTTGTGGGTGCTGGTGGTTGTGTTATGTGGGAGGAGGTGGTGTTGTGGGATGGGTGGGCGGGGGAAAGTGGTTTGGTTGGGACAGTTCAGATAAGGATCACACACACACACACAGTCCAGCCCGGCATTCCAACCCGTGTTTAAATTGTGAAGGTTATTCTGTGGTGTGTGGTGATGGTGTGGTTGTGGTGGTATTGTGTCGTTGTATTGAGTTATGGTAATGTGTATTCATGGTGATTGTATTATATGGTGTACTGATGATGATTGTGTATTGTGATGGTGAGTTATTGATAGTGATGGTTGTGGTGGTGATAGTGATGGTTGTGGTGGTGATAGTGATGGTTGTGGTGGTATTCACATCCAAGAGACGACTGCAGAAGGAAGAGGAGGAGTGAAGGGCTGTTTTGAACGCATTTGTATTCATAACCATTACCACAGACCCGCAACTACCACCAGTCACTTACTTTCAGTCCCTATCACCACTATACCACCGCCACCACCACTACTACTACTACAACAACTACTACCACTTCCACTATCCACTACTATCATCCACTCTACTACTTTCAATTAATTAATTCCCACCACCACCACCACCTCAATTACCACCACTCAATCTCAATTACCAATCTCCCACCACCAATCTCCACTCAATCTCCAATCAACCACCAATTAACCCCACCAAACCAATCAATCAATCCACCAATCAATCAATCTCACCACCACCAATTAACCTGACCACCACCAATTCAACTCCCACCACCACCCACCAACTCCACCACCAACTCACCACCAATCAATCAACTCCAATCACCAATCCCAACCAATCAATCAACTCCACCACCAACCGCCAACCTAATCACCAACCGCCAACCCACCACCAATCAACTAACCCAACCAACCAATCCCCACCACCACCAACTCCACCACCAACTAACCAACCAATCCCAACTAACCACCTCAACTCCACCACACTCCAACTCAACTCAATTTCACCCCAACTAACCCACCACCAATCACCAACCCACCACCAACTAACTAACCCACCACCAACTCATAACCACCAATCAATCAACCGCACTCAACACCCGCTAACTCCACCAACAATCAATCAACTTACTACCACCACCACCCCACTACCACCCCACCACCACCACCTCACTACCACCACCACCACCCCACTACCACCCCACCGCCACCACCACCACCTCCCACTACCACCACCACCACACCCCACTACCACCACAACCACTTTCACTACCACCACCACCCCACCACCCCACTACCACCCCACCACCACCACCCCACTACCATCACCACGACTACCACTACCAAGACTACCACTATCACCACCACTACCACAAGACTTATAGAGTGGCGATCTATATAACGTATCCTATGAGAGTGTCAGTGGTGTGGTAGAGGGAGTGTTGGGGTGTTGACAGTGTGGTAGGAGGAGGACAGACAGACAGACAGACAGACAGACAGCAAGTGACAGGACGTATGACAACCACTTGATCACATTAATGGCACTAACTCGTACACGCTGTCGTCATATAGTGTAGGTTAGTGTTTGTATTCCCACAGTGAAGTCAAATAGGCCCCGTCGTCTTGATAGGCCCCTGTGCTTAACTTATCTAGTAAAATTAAGTCTCACTCTAAATAAGCCCCAATTCTTATGGTTAGGTTAGGTTTCGGGACGGCGGGGAGAGGGTAGGGGGGGGGAGCATTTAGACTTGAGGCTGTAAGAATTGGAGCTCCTTTAACCAGGCACCAACGACTGCACCACAAACTGGATAACCTAAAGATAATGGTGATCCCAGTTGTTGCATCTCTTACCATCCGCTCGTAAAGGTGTCAGGGCGCTGCAGTACCTGGTGACTTGGTGCATGTAGTGGTGATCACGACCTGTGTCTGCTGGTGCTCTGACAACCCAGGTACATAGTGAGGGGGATGGGTGACGTGTGGGGTGGGGTGGGGGGAGGTGTATACAGTATTTGTATGTGAGGGAGGGGGCGACTGTGTGTGGGGGGATGTAAACATGTGGGTGTGCGTGTCTGTGTGAGAGGTGTGAGAGAATGTGTCAGTAGTATTATTGTTGTTGTAGACGTCATATACTGTACATGTGTGTCAAGTGTGGGCAGCGTTGACGTGTGTGAGAGAGGGAGAGAGAGAAAGGGTGAGAGAGAGTCGCAGGTGGCGTGGGAGCGTCCTGCCCTGCCTCTCACCAGAAGAAAGGCGACCTCCGGATACCAACACTACCATCTGGACGTCACTTCCGAGGGCGCCAGGGTCCTCAACATCCTGACGCTGGATATAAACATTAAAACCATTTATTTTTATATCAGTCGCTCCCGGGGACGTTTTTGTCTTTGTTGTGGTTGATGGTCGTTGATTAAGGATTTTTTTTTCCGTTTCGTGATAAATTCGAAGGCTGTATTCGTGTCTTTGTTACCTCAAGGAGCCCGAGGCCCCAGATTGAGTACTTAGTTTGTGAAGCGGCGAATTTTTTGTTTGTTAATAATTTTTTATTGATTTTCAGGTTATTTTATTGGAAATGATAAAATAATGAAATGGTAAAGATATGATATGGGCCAGAGTGATGACAACATGAAACAGGGAAAGAGTGGACAGTGGCCAGAACTGAGTTATAATATGTGGTGCCACAGAGTGAGGCATTAAGTGATGGAGCTGTTGTGTGGTGTGCCCAAGCCCCAGCGACGCTCCGGCTGGGGGTCGGGCTGGGGCAGGGCCAGCACAGGTAAAGGCGCTACAGCCAAGGGGGACCTGAACCGTGGGTGGGGGAGCATCAGACGGTCGGCCACCATGCCTTCGTCAGGGTCTTACCTCAGTAAGTCTTCGCGGTCCTCGCCCCAAGCTTACCGCCGCCACCTTCTGCCCTCAACTCTTCCCTCCGCCAGTAAGCCTCAGCGTGCTGCCACCGACCCTTACAAGGAGCCGCTGTGCCCCGCCGTCACACTAACATCAGCTAGTAAAGACGTGGTAGTGGTCGACGACGTTGGGGAGCCCGGCACTCTCCGCCGCTCTCAGACTCTACCTATAGGAGTCATGAGGAAGCCTCCAACTTGTCTGAGCAGCGCTGTGGCTTCCCTCAAGCGTGAGGGTTCTCTGAGGCGGCGGGGAGCCTCTGGCCGCGACACAATAAAGAAGAACAACAATCCTCCCAAAGAAGGCTTAAAGCGACAGGGGAGCGCCAGTAGTCTCACTACCACGACACAAGCCAACGACAAGAGCGTTAGTGAGAGAACTGTTGACTCCAGCGTCGTTAGTGAACCTGTGGTGGCCAGTACACAGGATAATGTGGATTCTAGTGCTGGGACTCCGAGTCCTTTCAGGAGAACACTGACATTGCCTCCGGGAGCAATATGCAGACGTTGTCCGGGCATGAGGACCCCAGAGAGACGAAAAATTTCGTTTGTACATTCAAAAACAGATCCGACCGAAAGTGACGAAAAAGAGAGCTCGGACACCATCGTTGACATGAGTGATGCGACCAGTGACGGTACGAGGACATCGTCGTCATGGCGGGGCAAGAGGAACTCTACCACCTCCACCATGTCGGGTTTATCTCGCCTCACCTCCACCACCACGACAGATGAGGGCGTGTGTGTGTACAGCGAGGGGGGTAGCGTGGGCTCGTCCTCCATGTACGGCAGCGTGCGTGGTGGTGCGTGGAGTGGCAGCAGCGTTGACGAAGGTATCAGCGTGTATAGCGCCCCTTCTCTCGCCTCCTCAGCCGACCTCAGCTCCGCCTCCAGCCTCTACGAGCGTGCTGGGGCGAGGCCAAAGCTCCGCACTCCGCAGGTGCTTCAGGGCATACTGCAGAAAAAAGAAGGGCAAGAGGAGGAAGATGAGAAGTGCCTGCGGTGCCAGCGTGAGGCTGCGGGAGGAAGCAGTACCCCTCTGCGACGAGCCCGCAGCCTCCGCACACCTCGACACCTCCCCGTCACCCCCACCCTCCTCAGACTCCTGCAACTGGTGAGTGTTACACTACCTGTTTGTCTCACCTGTTTTGTAAATATTGTAAATACTCAAGTAGTCTGTAATTATCCCCAAAATTACTAATATTAGAATATTGTGATGCCACCAACATGACCACAACAATATTTTATCTTTGAAGGCAGACGAAGTAAACGTAACGTAACCTAACCTCACGAAGGTAATTTTCATAAGCTTAGGTTAATTTCCATATCTTGGAGAATTAGTGGTTGTGGTCCTCTTAGTGGTAAAATATTGATATTAACCATTTTCCAGGTGTGTCTGTCTCAAAGTGGCTGTACTGTATCTCTCTCTGTCTCTGTCGGCGCTACTCTTATTCTCAGAGTAAATTATTGCACACCGTGTAAAATGAATTAATAGTAATTTAGAGAACAATCAGATGAAATGGTCCCTAATGTGTGTGGCTGAGATGTAACCACGTTCATCTGACAGACTTCACCACTCATTGTATTAAAAGTTGTTCTAATCCTACAAGGTGAATCAAGGGACGGCGGGAGTTACAGTGAGGTAAGCGGCACTTGGGTACAGTAATGGGAAGCTGTATGATGATGCTGCTGTAATGTTTCCACTATCATGGTTCACTGACACACAACTGAGGCCTTTGTGGTCAGCTGTTTATTAGACTTATCCAGTGTTGCCATTTTATATATATTTAATTATAACAATGAATGATAATTGTACAAATGACTGACAATAATAATAACAATGACATTAACAACAATTAAATAACTGATAACTGCAACAGTAGATTCTTATGATATTGTATTGTTATATTTACGTAATAAACTTAGCGAAGAAAAACTTAATGGTTGTAATTGAAAGTTAGAAAGAATCATACGAACAAGATTATGAAGAGCAAAGTAGAGAGAAGATAAAAATATTAACCATAAAATCATTTCCAGTTTTCATCAGTACAGAGCCACCAGGCGGGTCAGAGCCACCAGGCGGGTCAGAGCCACATCAACACTCTGAATTCTATTATAGTTAGACCAACATCAGTACACCATTGTGAACATGACGCACCAGCCTTGTACAATGTTACCAGATGTTCAATTCCGTTCCATGACGCTTAGAGGCTTGTAAGTTAAATAACCCACGTAATAGAAGTTGTAGGAATGTATAATTTGGTTGGTTGTGAGATTAATAATAATAATAATAACAATAATAATAATAATGGCCGTTTAGGGAAGATATACATGAGTTACTGCGATATTAAATCTTAGAAAACGAACCTTACCGTCAACAGAGAAAATGGTCCAAATTTAAGGATAACTCAACTAAAATATCGTATATTCATAGGAGTTTAGTGAAAGTATACATGAGTTACCGCGACAATGCTTTACAGAAAACGAAGCTCACCGCTAACACAGAAAATGGACTATATTGAGGTATAACACAACTAAAAATGCAAATATATAGGACATTCACCATCGCTGTAGTAGACCAAGACACTTAGTATTTACATAGGTATTCAGCTATTTCCACCTTTTAATTTCTTTTGTCTTTTATTCAACATTATCACACACTTTGACACAGACCGGGGACATTAAGCAACTCATTTCCGTTTGGTGTCAGGTTTTTATGTCAGACAGACGTGACTGACAAGTAGATGAATACACAGTTGTATATTGTGTTACTTGCTTATTAGAGCTTCCTGTTGACTTCTTTGTTATCTGGGGTCGAGATCCGAGTGTCCTTGTGGTCTTGAGGGTATTAATATACGGTTTGAACTCGCTTCTATCATCTATACAGCAAATGGGTTCCAATATTAATGAATCTCAATAAACTAGCCATTAGACTTGGGGTTCAATCCTATTAAAAGCATCTGAGCCTAACACAACTAATAGGATCTGTGTTTAAAAGTCTTAATGGGCCCCAATTGAGGCTATATAGGTCTGTTTAAGGGCCTGTTGTGTCAGGGGCCCATTTGACACTTCACCACAGGGTATCCCAGCGTGTTAGAGAGTTGTATGACCAGTGTTGCTATCAGGTGTGACTGTGTTAAATATGTATGGTAAGAGTGTGAGGCGTGAGGACCCCTGAGTAGCGAGGACACCTGGCGCCTTGTACCTCGTCAATAGGTACTTCCCGCATCCTTGTGCCTCACCTCCCTCCTCCTCCTCCATGAATTTACCCCCTACGATGCCTACCTCCATCTTTTCCCCACTTCCTTTTACGTTCCTCGCAAGACTTTACCCTCTACGATACCTCACACACCCCTTTCTCCCCCGACCCCCCCTCCTCACTAGCCAAGTCCCCTTACGATGTCTTCCCTTGAGCCCTAACCTCACCTGCTTCGTTCCCTCGTGAAGTTAACCCACCTCTTCTGTGACGACTATTGTTCACCTGTCCTCTCCCACACACAACATTGTCCCTCCCTCCCGCCCTCTCTCTTTCCCTCCCATCACCACACTCCCTCTCTCCATCCTCGTAACATCACACCCTCCCCTCCCTCCCACAACTCCTGAGTCACCTCCACGCTCTTAACTACATTCGGTACGCTCTTGCAAATTAAGTTGGCGGGAGAATTAGTGTTGTCTTTACCAGAGAGGAGACAATTGTGTGCCGCCGCCTCTGAGGGTCGGTTATTACTCGTTGTACTTGGCGTTAACGAGCGTGGAAAATAGGTCGTTAAGGAAATGTGGGTTTGTTTGTGTATAATAATAATAATAATAATAATAATAATAATAATAATAATAATTTTGTGGTATATATCAACAATATCAAACCATAGGTGAATTATTATCATCACCTATCCCGTATTTAGGTTAGGTTAGGCTGTGGTGACCAGGAGATATTCATGGTGTCTCCGGGACTAGGAATTATCAAGTGTTATGATCGCTGGTGTACCTTTAAGGTGACCCCAAGTGTGAAAAAGAAATTTCTCACCTGTGCTGGTTAGATATATATATATATATATATATATATATATATATATAGATCTATCGACGCCAGGTGAATTTTTTTAACCTTTTGGGGAGGTCAATTTAAACGTTCATAGTTACTTTAATGAAAATATTTTTATCATAGATATAACACTATCGGCTCCTGTACCCCAATACAGGTTCAAAAACTATATCACTTGACATCTGAACCCATGAAACACTTATATATAGGTTCAAAACATCGTCATTACTCATATGAACCCCTGAAGTGATCCATCAATGTTTTGTGGTGTATTAATACATAAATAATTTGAGCCTCGGCTGTTTCCCTGTACTGTAAGTGAGAGGTTCAGACAGTGTTTAAGAGGTAAGGTGAAGGGACGTCAGGTGTACCCAGTGTTTCCTAATGAGGGTTTTACAGGTAACAGTAATACACCTTGTCGTATGTGACCTTAGTCTAATTTAACCATTACAACTGTGTCCCTTGCTCGTAATTGGTCTTAATTTCATTGGTTCGATTGTTAGTTTAAGTTGGGGCCTATTAGGACTGGGGTCTATTATCCTTGGGGCCAATTAGTACTAGAACCCCTTAACATGCTAGTAGTGAGGGTCATTGTAAGAATAGTAATAGTAATAATAATTTTAATAATGATAATGATAATGATGATGATAATACTAATGATAATAATAATAATAATAATAATAATAATAATAATAATAATAATACTTTCAGTAGTAATCTGTAGAAGTCCAGAGTCCCTGACAGCCAAATCGGTCTTATGTGGGATAGAATTTCACGTAATTATGGAAGACGATTAGCCAGTCAATGATTACAGTCCCTAATCAATCACAGTCTGTCAGCAGTTAAAATCGCTAATCAGTCAGTTAGTAGGTACAATCTCTCTAATCACCTACAGTCGTCACAATCCCTGATTAGCCAGTCAGTGGTCACAATCGTCGAGTCATTGATTTACATAATAGGTATTACAGAGGAGGAGTGAGGGACTAGGTCGACTAAGCTGATTGGATCCACGTTAGACCTTCCAATCCCTTTTAAGCTGATTTGTTACCTCTGCCTCCCCCCCGACCATAACTCCCTCCTCTCCTCATCTCAACTGCCTCCCTTCACCCCAGCTGCCTCCCTTCACCCCCAGCCTCCTTTCACCCCAGCTGCCCTCCCTTCACCCCAGCTGCCCTCCCCTTCACCCAGCTGCCCTCCCTCACCCCAGCTGCCCTCCCCTTCACCCCAGCTGCCCTCCCCTTCACCCCAGCTGCCCTCCCCTTCCCCCGACGTTAAATCTGTCTCATTAACAGGTAAAGTTAGTAGTGGTGTTGGAGGGAGGCAGGGAGGTGGATGGTTAGTGGTGGAGAGAGGGAGGTAGATGGTTGTGGTGGAGAGGCAGGGAGGTGGATGGTTAGTGGTGGAGAGAGGGAGGGAGGTGGATGGTTAGTGTTGGAGAGAGGGAGGGAGGTGGATGGATGATATTGTGGAGAGAGAGGGAGAGTGGACAGTGCCACATTGATTGGCACATTCTCGCACGTGATTAATGGCCCGATACCTGGCTCTTGACGTCGTACACTCTGCCTGCATGACCCCCCTCTCGACTGCTTAGTTCTCCCTCCCTCCTCCCTCCTCCTCCCTCCCTCCTCCTCCTCCCTCCCTCCCCTCCCTCCCTCCCCTCCTCCCCTCCTCCCTCCCTCCCTCCCTCCCCTCCTCCCCTCCCTCCTCCCCTCCTCCTCCTCCCTCCCTCCTCCTTCCCAACATAAACTCTTAACAACCTTACTACCTTATGATCATATTCACCATATTAAAAAAAAAATCGATAAATTTCCTACTTGTAATAAAACCCTAAATTATTTATTGTATAAAATAGTCACTCACCGAACACAAGTCATGGCGCTACTAATTACAGGTATAATACATCCACTAACTTACTATAATACTGAATTAGTTACAGTATATTGTGTTCTGGTTCCTCCCTGTAACTGAGCTTTTGTATTTGTTTTGAAGTTTGTTGATGTTACAGCTGTAGTGGTGTGACACAGTAAGTCTTTTATTAATAAACTTTGAACTTGTGTTGTGTTGTGATGGTGGGAACAGGGAGCCTTTGTGTAGCTGGGTGTTGATTCGGTGATACTGGGAGTTTTGACAGACGGTGAGGGTGTAGGGTGGGTGTAAGGGTGTAGGGTGGGTTTAGGAAGGGTGTAAGGGTGTAGGGTGTAGGAAGGGTGTAAGGGTGTAGAGACAGCACTTGGGTGTATGTGTGATAGTTGCTGTGTTCACATTAAGTCGTGTTGAGAGTGTCACCTTACACTCTCTCCTTCCTCACGCCTCCCGGACCTCCGCCTTACACTCCCCCTCACTCTGCCTCACTCTACACACACTCACACACACTCCCACATCCTCTCCCACACTCACATTCTCTCCCACACCCACATTCTCTCCCACCCCTTTCCCCCCTCACGTCCCTCTCCTCTACCACCACCACAACAGCTTCTACCACAACTACCACCACCACCTTACCGTCAAAATTGGTAACTGATCATGTTTTTTGGCAACAGTTACACCCTCCTCTCCCTTCTCTTCCTCTCCCTTCTCCTCCCCTCCCTTCTCCTCCTCTCCCTTCTCCACCTCTCCCTTCTCCTCCCCTCCCTTCTCCTCCCCTCCCTCACATCTGCTTTACATCGAACCCCTCCCTTCCCTCACCCCGTGTCTCTGCTGGGGGTAATGTTGGCACCACACACTAAGGGTTCCCCCCCTTCCCTCCTTCCCCCTTCCCTCCTCCCATTCCTCCATACCCTGAGATATTTCCCTCCTTCCTGCCCTACCCAGCACGTCCGTCGCTGTCTGGTCGGCCATGTTTTGTTTTAGATGACGTCATATCCTCTAGGTGACGTCAGATCCCCCCCCCCCAATACAGACGGTAGATGACCCTGTGCCATCCTGTGTCTTGACCCTTTGACCTTGTCTCTATTGTACCATTAATTTGTCATCCTAGTGCCACTCTGTCCACAAGACAACACCGTAATGGCGTTTAATGTTGTTGTGGGAGGTTGTTAAGTCTTAGTTAATAGCGTTTGTATATTATTTTACTCCCAGGCGTCAGTGTGTGTTGATAATCTTACACTGTCTTGAGTAAACAGTTTGTGACTTAAGTAAATAACAATAACAATCTTGCTTTATATTGTCATAACTTTAATTACTAACCAAACAAATGTTCCTGTATTTAACTGTTACCTGGACTTGTTTTTTCTTGTAATATTTGTTTCTTTACCTTAATATTATTTCTACATATATGTATATTAGATATAAACTTGTGATTATTTACTTATTGTCAGTGTTTATTAGGATTGTTAATATACAATAATAATAATATTGGTTACAGCAAGAATTTAATTATGTAACTCATTTTAATTATGCATCTTTTACCTGTTAATTAACTGTCGTGTTCTTTTCAACAGGTGAGTGTTTTTGTGACCCCTGGTGAAGGTTCGTCTGGCGTTAACGTGAGTGTGGACCTTCCTTTTACCTCCCCACTCCCCCAGAGGTATCCCAGTGTTACCATTTTGAGAGAGAGAGAGAAAGAGAGTTGTAAATCACGTAATAAGGGCGACCATATGCCGTAATTTACAACTGTGGGACAACTTACCATTTACAGTCAAAACACTTATGTTGATTTACGATTTACGAGTTTTAAAGACGCAGTGATGATGAGAGTGTAGAGGGGAGGAATGGTACCCCCTCCCCCCCTAGTGCTGATTTACAAGACAGACAGACAGACAGACAGACACACACAGTACCCCACTTACCTACTGTACTTCCTCTACCCCTTTACTCTACCCTTTATTCTACCCCCTTACTCTACCCCCTTACTCTACCCCTTATTCTACCCTTTACTCTACCCCCTTACTCTACCCTTTATTCTACCCCCTTACTCTACCCCCTTACTCTACCCCCTTACTCTACCCCTTTACTCTACCCCCTTACTCTACCCTTTACTCTACCCCCTTACACTACCCTTTTATTCTACCCCTACTCTACACCCACTCTACCCCCTTACTCTACCCCTTTACTCTACTTGCTCTCTGCCTCTGCCCTTACTCCCCCTTACTCTACCCTTTACTCTACCCCTTACTCTACCCTTTATTTCTACCCCTTACTCTACCCCCTTACTCTACCCCTTACTCTGCCCCTTACTCTACCCCTTACTCTACTTATACTCTACCCCTTACTCTACCCCTTTACTCTACCCTTTACTCTACCCCTTTACTCTACCCCCTTACTCTACCCCTTTACTCTACCCCCTTACTCTACCCTCTTACTCTACCCTTTACTCTACCCCCTTACTCTACCCCTTAAGCATAAAAATATAGAAAAAAAATCAAAATATAAATAAACAAAACTACAAACTCAACATACAATAAAAACAAAAATAAAAACACGAATTAAAAGCAAAAATAATGAGACATCTTCTAAATTAACGTAATATAATTTAACCTTAATTTCCCGGTATTCTAATTTACGCCTCAACCATTGTGCCCTCAAGGTGCTGTTGTGGGTAATGCCGGCAGCCGTAGCCACTTGAGTGTAAAATCAGAGATGGTGTTGGCGGGGGGTAAGGTGTCTGAGTGTCTGTGTGTTGTAAGGCTGTGGAGTATTGGCTGTGTGCTGCCAGATGGGGGGAAGGGGAACAGGGGGTGAGTGAGGGGGGGAAAATGAGATGTGGTTAGAGTGTGGGGAGGAAGGGGGAGTAGGAAGATGTGGTGAGGTGAGTGTGGGGAGAGGAAGGGTGTAGAATGAGGGAGAGGGGAGAGGGGGAGGGAGGGAGGGAGAAATTTACAATGTTACCAGTGCCACTGAAGACCATAAGCCAGGCACTGCACTTGATTGCCTCTCACTTCCTCATCTGTAAGAGTTAGGTATCTCTCTCTCTCTCTCTCTCTCTCTCTCTCTCTCTCTCTCTCTCTCTCTCGCCAGTTTATCAGTCAGCCAGTTACTCCGTCAGTCACCCTGTCATTCAGCCAGTCAACTAAACTGTTTACCCGTTCCGTCTCTCACTCCGTCAGTCAACTTGTTAATCAGTTCGTCAGCCACTCCGTCAGGTAGCTTAGACAGATAGATAGATAGATACATTAGATAGATATATAAACAAACAAATAAAAACAAAGAGAGAGAGAGAGAGAGAGAGAGAGAGAGAGAGAGAGAGAGAGAGAGAAAACACATGTTGGTAGAGGAGAGATGGACGAGGCAGGGAAGAGAACTCTAGCCTGACACAAATAGTATTGGAGAACTTCTCTATGGCACCGAGCCACCACAGTGCCCCGCTACCTCCTCCCTCCCTCCCTTGTTGGTAAGACCTCCCTCCCTCCCTCCCTTGTTTTTAGGTCTCTCTCCCTCTCTATCTCCCTTTTTAAGACTTCTCTCTCTCCCTCCCTCCCTCCCTCCCTCCCAGCCTAACCATGGACGTAACTCTTTTCTGTCAATATATCAAAAGTTTTGGATATAATATTCAGCCTGTAAAGTAAGGCGTGGAAAATACATAGATTGAAATTGTGAGGGTAGGGTAGGGTAGGGTAGGGTAGGGTAGGGTTGATAGGTGGGTGGGTGAAAGGGTGGGGTAGGGTAGGGTAGGTAACACGTCACCATCCTAAGACACACTGAGAGGAGGAGGCGAGGCAGCTGTATAGACGTTCTTCAGGATTACCATACGGTCTCCCTCCACCACCCATCTCCTTATGTATATCCGGCCATCCGTAGCGTATATCCGGCCATCCGTAGCATATATCCGGCCATCCGTAGCGTATATCCGGCCATCCGTAGCATAGAGTCCACATCTGTAGCGTATATCCGCCATCCGTAGCGTATATCCAATATCCGTAGCGTATATCCGGCCATCCGTAGCGTATATCCGGCCATCCGTGTTGTTATGGTGTACGTTGTTATGGTAGTGTACGTGTTGTTATGGTAGTGTACGTGCTGTTGGGTTATTTACGGGCATATCAGCATGGGTATTTCATCTTTACCTGTCGCTAATGCACGTCACTATGTCGTCCTACGTCCAGACCGCCATTAGACTAACATCGTCCACTACTACAATAATACTACCACACGCAACAATACATAATTCCCTTCCCTCATTTTTTCTCCTCCCTTAACCCTCCTCCTCCTCCTCCTCTAACCCCCCTCCTCCTCCTCCACTGCCCTCTTCCCTCCAATTTCTCTTCCTCTTCCCTCCTCGACATAATTTCCACTGTATAAGGTGGTGGCGCTATCGCTTATCACTCATAAAGCGGAATGACTGCGGTGCTGGATGGATGGGTGAGTGGATGGGTGAGTGGATGGATGAGTGGATGGATGTGAATCTTGTTTTATTGTGGTTGTGTTAGGAATATTGCGACTGAGAGAGAGAGAGAGAGTTCTGAGTGTGTGTGTGTGTGTGTGTGTGTGTGTGTGTGTCTTGTCTCCAATGGCATTCAGCCTTGGCATTTCCGGCAGTGGCCCCCCCCCCTTAATCTCCCTTTCCTCCTACGTCTCAACCCCCCCCTCCCTCCCCTCCCTCTGGTTCTTCGTTCGTTTCCCCCCTTCCCTCTCCGTCCTTCTTCCTTCCCTTTTCCTTCCCCTCTCTCCTACCTCCCATTTTCTCTCCCACCCATCCCCTTTTTCTCCTCTTTTCGTCTTCTCTTCCATTCGTATTCTTACCTTTCCTCCTCTCCCTCTCTCTCTTTTCCGCTCCTCTCCCTCTCCTCTCCATCTCTTCCTCCCTCCCACTCAGTAGCTGTTATCGGTGAAAATAAAATGTTATTAGGCAGAGATAATTAGTAATTAGTTCCACCGTTGTGCTGGTCATAATAATTATCGGTAAAAGCCTTGGGTGCTTCTCCTCTCTGTCTGCAAAATATTTAAACATTTCTCTGTGTATTTAGTACTGATTATATTTTCACTATTGATGTTTATTTGTTTTTTCTTTGTTTGGTTTATTGTTTATGTTTTGTGATATAGTTTAGTATATTAAAAAAGACCAACCGTATGTGTTGTGGTGAAGTAGTCGGCTTATATTAAATATTGAGAAGAAAGTAAACATGGCAGTGAATTATCCAATCCGACAGCACCATTTCCCTTGGCAACCATCAACCAATCAACTACCATGAATCGTGAGGAGCTTGGTTAATATAGCATTTTGTAGTTTGTTTTGGGGGGGGCTTAAAGCATGTTTTTGTCTGACGGGGGCTTAGAAAATTTACCCAACTGCAGTAGAGTCTCTGTGTAATTACAGTGCCATTATGGTTGTTGTGGCACTGGCGCCAGGAAGGCCACACAAATTACTGGATTATGGTGGAGGAGGTGGCGTGGAGGGTGCCAACATGTGGTTAGGTTAGGTTAGGTGCCAACATGTGGTTATGCCATAGCTCTCCTCCTCACTATCTCTGAATGCATCTCGTGTGTGTGTGTGGTGTGCGTGATGCGGGTGCCAGGCGGCCAGTGCCATGTCCTGACGTCAGAGCCGTGCCTGCATCAGCCACAATGCCTCACAGGGTGCCTGGCTCGCTGTCAGTGGCTCACAGTGTGTGTGTATGTGGATTTGTTGGGTGTGTGTGTGTGTGTGTGTGTGTGCGCGCGCGCGCGCGTTTAGCTCTCTTCTCTTACACGGTTAAAAGAATACTAAAGTCTCTTGTTTTTCGTTACACACACACACACACACACACACACACACACACACACACCAACACTCCTGAATTAGCCGCTACCTCAACTGATGCTCGTTTGTGTATGGCCGGAAATACTTACTGCAGGCCGACCTGTGCACCTCAAGGGCCCTCCATGGTCCTCGAGTTTATTTAAGAGGTCTGTAGGTCAATTGGGCCCCTAATTCTGAAGGGCTTAGTTCTAATGGTTCCCCGTCTTAGTAGGTGACCATCGTGAGACTTGAGTTAAAGGGCTGGACATATTGAATACCTGAAGAGTGGGAGGGAGGGGGGGTGATCTTAAGGATAGTAATGGTGGTGGAGACGTTCCTTCCCTGGAGGAGTAGGGTGGAGGGTGGTGATGGAGGGAGAGAGGGAGGACCAAGGGAGGCGTAACCCTAATGTAATCATTGTTCTGGTGGAGGAGGGTCTGGGGGGGGGGCTCATTATTATGGCTGATTAGGATCCTTGTTCCTCTGGGATGCCTCTACACTGTGTGTGTGTGTGTGTGTGTGTGTGTCCTCCCCGTTGTTATCTCCCCCTCACGACTTCACTGTCCAGGAATCACAGTAAAATTGTCACTGTAGGGAGGCCATTGTTGTGTTTCACCGCTTGAATAGTACTGAGGATGTCTGCTGCCGAGGCTAGTGGCGGAAGGCTATTGTCAGGACGCCCAGTGCCCTGACACCACTGCTTTTCGTCAAATCATCACCGACTCATTTGACGCAGATCCCACGAGAGAGAAGCATCATTGGTTGGTGTAATTTTAACACAGGCAGGTAGAGTCATTCATGTAGCCAGGTAAACAGAGGGTGGAGGTGTCAGGTACCTGGGGGGGGCGACACCGAGGGGTGACAGACGTGCCACCTTACCTGTACTGATGGGCCCCCTTGTTCTCCACTGACCCTCCTCCATCACACGCCTATCTCGGCCACTACGAGCATTATTAAGACTCCAGCATCATAAATCCAGGTGATATATTGGTCTCAGCAGACGGCATAATGCAGCCGAAGGCCTAATAAGGTCGTCCACCACCCCGAGTGCTGTAATAAGTGGCTTATAGATGGACCATTTAGTCCGCCATATTTGTTTATCTCAGCTTGTGTGATATCAGCGTCGCGCCCTCAGACCAAACCGGGGAGCTAGAGGCCTTATCTGTTCCTCGCTGGAGGTCCTGTGACGCGGCCTACACCTACCGCACCTACAAGTGTTGAGAGAGAGAGAGAGAGAGAGAGAGAGAGAGAGAGAGAGAGAGAGCACTCGTAAGATGGAAGGGATTTCATTACTCCTTTGTCATGGCAACGAGTGTGTTGATATGTAATTTGTGAATTTATTGGGCAGCATTATGAAGGTAGTGTGATGTAGGAGGTATCGTTTGAGGGGAGTAAGGGCAGCAATCTGGTGAGGGGCGATGGAAGGAGGGGGGGGGGTGACTTGACCGTTGGGTGATGTATGGGGTGGTGGAGGGGTGGGGGGAGACGTACTGTATATGACCTCAGCCTAGAGGTAATGCATGTTCCCCTTCCTCTTCTCCCTCAATTACGGTAATGATGGAGTGATGCCTCTTACTCCTCTTCCTGTTCCTCTTCCTCTGTTCCCATTTTCTTCTCCTCCATTCCCTTCTTCTTCCTCTGATGGTTTTCCTCCTCATCCTCCTCCTCCCCCACCTTCTCTTCTTCCTGCTACATCTTCTCTCCTCTTCCTCTTCCCTTTTACATAACAAATCACCGAAACAGATTACTCCCCTAATAACTGTCTATTTCTTAACTTAGGTACCGCATACAGTCACATAACATCTTAACTTACGGCAGAAATATTAACTGTACGAACTATTAGAATCCAGAACTATCTGAACACTTCCCACCACGAGGCTTGACCGTGGTGGAAGGGGGGAGGGGTCGTGGTGGGAAAAGGAAGGGTCAGGGAAAGGGAGGGGCCGGTGGGGAAAGGGACGGGGTCAAAGGGGAAAGGGGAGGGTCAGGAAGGGAGGGGTCGTGGGTTATTAAAATTGAGAGGGAGAGAAGGGGAAGGTAAGGGACGACTTTGAGAAGAGAAAGAGAGAGAGAGAGAGAGAGAGAGAGAGAGAGAGAGAGAGACTAGCGAAGTTAGGTAGAATGAGAGTAAGAGAGAGACGAGAGAAGGAGGTGTAGAGTAGAAAAGAGAGGGTAGGGAAAATGAGAGAAGGAAGAGAGGGGGAGGGGTAGGCAGAGAAAGGAGGGGATGGCACACCACTCCACCATCATCCTTGACCTGGTGAGGGTAGTTCTAACCTCTCAACAGCAATCTCCTCATAACCCGCCTCTACTAGTGCACACTTTCCCTCTCCCTCCCTCCTTCCTCTCCCTCCCTCATTCCTCTCCTCCCTCCCTTCCGGTTCTCCCACCCCCCACCCACCCCCTGCCATTCTGTGCTACCCACCACCACCACCACCACAACAACAATCCCTGCCATATCATCCTAGCCACCCACCACCACTACTACCACCACTACAACCACTACTACCACCACTACAACAATTAGACATTGCACGTGAAATTCAGACATATGGAAATACATGATACACAACAACGATTAATAAATACTAAAAGAAGTAAAATACAAGAATGAAATACAAAAATTCTTACGTCATTTGAAACGTAATTTTTGTATTTCAATTTCAAGTTATTAATGAGAGTAAGAGATGATGATGATGATGATGATGATGATGATGATGATGATGATGATGATGATGGTGGTGGTGATGATGATTCCTAGACGAGTATAATGATTGTTTTTTCCTTATTAGTCAAGACATGAATATAAATTGAGTTTCACAATAAGAAGGGAAGCTTATATTATTTTCCACTCTGATTTTATTGATGTTTTGTCGCTTCCCGGAGTTCTGTGTAGCCGTTCATTACCTGTACGTGATTCTGAGGACCAAGGACGCCACGGACACTACGCCAGTTCTTTGATCAAACACACACACACACACACACGGACGCCACGTTAGTAATCTACCACAGCCACGGACGCCACACTAATGCAACAAACCAAGGACACCATACCACAAACCACGGACCACTAATGCCAACAAACCATGGACGCCATTATACTTTCCAATTTTCATAAACCCATCTTAAGATAGGTCAGTTGTCGTAAAAAATTGGTTAAGACTCGACCTGTGGTGAAGGTGGAGGTTGGAGGAACAGAAAAGATGGAGGGAGTGTGTGTAAACTGTCCTGGAGGATGAGTTACGAGACGTGAGGTGGCTCTTCACTTTATGGAGGGCTATAGTGTGTTGTCCTCCCGTCCTGATTTGACTGATTATGTTTTTTGGAGCGTGAGGGAGGTTGGAGATGAGTTAGTGTCTTCTCGTCTTGAGCTGACTCCCAGTGTTGTTTTTTTTTGGAGCGTGAGGAAAGGTCTTGCTTTAGGTCAGTATCTTCCCGTCCTGACCTAACTGATACTGTTTTTGGAGTTTTTGAGCATAAACTAAAAAAAAAAAAATAAATGCAAAATGTCGGAATATAAATTGTCATTTTTTCTCCAAATACAACATTTTCTATTATTTTTCCAATACAAACGCAACTTTTTTTTCTAACTTTCCAAGCACAAACACAGCTTCTAGAATGTTTCCTCAATACAAACACACAACTTTTATAACTGTTTCCACACACAAACACGGCCAGCGAGTGTCTCAGCAGTGCAAACTTGGCCCAGCTGTCACACTTAATGACAGATTTAGCAGCCATTGGAGGTGTGTGTGTGTGTGTCTGTGTCTGTGTCTGTGTCTGTGTGTGTGTGTGTGTGTGTGTGTGTGTGTGTGTGTGTGTGTGTGTGTGTGTTTATAAACACACTACTATCACCATCTATCACCAACACACCACTATCACCACCAACACCCACCACTATCACCACCACACCACTTCACCCCAACACCACCACTATCACCCCCACACCCACCACTATCACCCCCAACACCCACCACTATCACCACCAACACCCACCACTATCACCACCAACACCCACCACTATCACCACCAACACCCACCACTATCCACCCTCCACAACCACCCACACCCACCATCACCACACTATCACACCAACACCCCACACACCCACCCCACTCACCACCATCACCACCAACACCACCACTATCACCCCCAACACCCACACTATCACCCCCAACACCACCACTATCACCCACCCACATCACCACCAACACCCATCACCACACACCCACCACTATCACCACCAACACCCACCACTATCACCCCACCACCCTTCACCAACACCCACCACTATCACCCCCAACACCCACCACTATCACCACCAACACCCACCACTATCACCACCAACACCCACCACTATCACCACCAACACCACCTATCACCACCAACACCACCACTATCACCCAACACCCACCACTATCACCCCAACACACCACTATCACCACCAACACCACCACTATCACCCCACCCACACCCACCTCCACCAACACCCCACTATCACCACCAACACCCACCACTATCACCACCAACACCCACCACTATCACCCCCAACACCCACCACTATCACCCCCAACACCCACTATCACCACCAACACCCACCACTATCCCCCCAACACCCACCACTCTCACCAACACCCACCACTATCACCCCCACCACTATCCCACCACCACCAACACCCACCACTATCACCACACCACCACTATCACCCCCACTATCACCACCCACACCCACCACTATCACCACCAACACCCACCACTATCACCACCAACACCCACCACTATCACCACCAACACCCACCACTATCACCCCCAACACCCCACTATCACCCCCAACACCCACCACTATCCAACACCACCACTATCACCACCAACACCCACCACTATCACCACCAACACCCACCACTATCACCCCAACACCCACCACTATCACCAACACCCACCACTCACCACCAACACCCACCACTATCACCCCAACACCCACCACTATCACCACCAACACCCACCACTATCACCACCAACACCACCTATCACCCACCAACACCCACCACTATCACCCCCAACACCCACCACTATCACCACCAACACCCACCACTATCACCACCAACACCCACCACTATCACCACCAACACCCACCACTATCACCACCAACACCACCACTATCACCACCAACACCCACCACTATCACCACCAACACCCACCACTATCACCACCAACACCCACCACTATCACCACCACACCCTCACCCCAACACCCACCATACCACCAACACCCACCACTATCACCACCACACCCACCACTATCACCACCAACACCCACCACTCACCCCAACACCCCACTATCACCCCCACCACTATCACCACCAACACCCACCACTATCACCACCAACACCCGGTGTATTGTTGGGGACAAACAAATGGACTTTATGTGGGAGATTATTATTTAACCTGGGAGTTTAGACTGGTGGTGAAGCCTTCCCTCCTCCCTACCTCCCCTTCCTCTTTCCCTCATCTCCCCTTCTCTTTCCCTTCTCTACCCTCCCTCTTTCCCTTCTCTCCCTCCTCCTCCACCCCTCACTTTATTCCTTCCCCTCCTAGCTCCTTCCTCTTTCCTTTTCCTTCCTCTTCCCCTTTCTCACCCCTCCCCTTTCTCACCCCTCCCTCCTCCACTTTCTCCTTCCCTCCTCCCCCCCTCCTTCCTTCCTCCTCCCTTTCTCCCCTTTCCTTTCTCCTTTTCCCTCTCTCCCCCCTCTCTCCCCCCCTCTCTTTGTTTCTCTCCATCTTTAGTTTTTGACAACTTTTTAAGCTTGTCTCCCTACAGTAACCCTCTATCACCTGTCCTCTCCTCTTCCCTCCCTCCCCCCCCTCTCCCTTCCTCCTCACCCCTTCCTCTCCCTCACCTCTTCCCTCCCTGTGCATCTGTTTGTGTGTCCTTCAAAGAGACCAGTTTCGTTAAGTACAGATAATGTAAGTTTCTAATGTAAACAAACAAACAAACCAGTCTGTCAACTTTTTCTGCCTCTCTTGTCACTGTCAGTAGCAGCTACCCCCCCCCACCTCCCTCTCTCTCTCTCTCTCTCTCTCTCTCTCTCTCTCTCTCTCTCTCTCTTTTTCTGTCTGTCTCTCGTTAAGGAGTTAGGACAGTGATAGAGGGGCAGCAGTTAGTTGCCCACAAGGTCCTGTTGGGCATAAGTGTGTGTGGAGCTGATGGCTTTAACAGGAGTG